GTGAGACAGTTAGAGAGAGGTTGGGCGGAGGCAGCCGTCGTGTCGCCAGCAGCGCCAGTAGTCCGGAGGCTACAATCTCCGGTAGCCCAGCGAGCCTGCTGCGCCAGTCGCCCGTGGGTCCGTTGCTCCTGCCGCTCAGAGTTAGCCGCAGAGTCAGTTACTCCAGTAGTCCGGAGGCTACAATCTCCGGTAGCCACAGTGCGCGCCGCTCCTGTTGCCCGTGTTTCTGCAGCTTCACCCGTTGTCTCCTATTTCCTCTCCTCTCACAGTCCCTCCTCCTCCTCACTTACTGTCTGTGACTGCCTCTAGCTTTGCTTATATTTGTGAACTTTAAACTTTTGCTTCTTGTACTTGTGCTCAGAATGTGTGGTGACATTGTGATCCACCCTGAGCTTGTTTTGCTTTGCTTGCTTGTGCTGATTACACCCCACTTTGGCTATGGGGGTGTGTCAGAATATGTTGCATTTGTCTAGCCTGCAGTGGGGTACTCAATAGTGAGTACAGCCCAATCTAGGGTTTTTTATATGTACTCAACTGCTTGCTAGTGAAAACCTCTTTTTCTCATTTCTAACTTTTAACTGTATTTCAACATCATCCTGTTCACGGCACTATCATCCTGTTCACCGCACTATCATCCTGTTCATCGCACTATCATCCTGTTCACCGCACTATCATCCTGTTCACCGCACTATCATCCTGTTCATCGCACTATCATCCTGTTCACCGCACTATCATCCTGTTCACCGCACTACGATCCTGTTCGCCGCACTGCATACCTTCTTGTTCACCACGCGCCGCATGCGCTCGGAACCGCTTTCAACCGCAATGGTGAGCGACCGAGTCCCGGATTGTGCCAACGCTGCTGCGAGCTTGGCGGTCACTGTGTTGGTGCGCACTGATGCAATGCTGGTGTGATGTGTGGTGTGGGGGAGGTAAAGGAAGAGGGAAGTGAGAGAAGCGTATGCTGTGCATGCAATGTAAGGAAAAAGGAAGGCAACACCGTTGCCAGCTTGGGGGTGACTGTGATGGTGCACACTGGTCCAATGCTGGTGCAGGGGAGAGAAGAGATGGGGAGCAGGAAAAACGAGGCGAGAGGATTGAGACAGTGCCATCCCACGGCTCCCAGCTTGGGCGTCACTGTGCTGGTGGCACCGAAGCAATGCAATGCTGCTGTGAGGGGGAAAGGCAAGGGAAACTGTGGGATGAGGAAGCTGCATGCAATGTGCCACGCCACCACCGCTACCAGCTTGGGGTTGAAGTGACTATGTTGGTGCGCACCGATGTGCTGCTGGTGTGGCGTGTGCGGGATACAGGGGAGAGTGGTGGCAAGGAAAAGGAGAATCGTGGCAAGGGGGGAGTGATGCAATGATTGAAGGAAGCTGTCCTGACTCCCTTCCTTCCCACCTGGGGCGATTATGCTTCATGTGGGGCTGCATCAGGTGCAGTACGACAATGGGAAGATTGATCATGGTGTTGACGATAAAAGGGGCGCGGATTACGGCTGACCTGACACGAATATCCTTCATGTGGGGCTGCAGCAGGTACGAAAGCAAGCTGTCAAAGCGTGGGTGTTCAAGTGAAGGGAATGAAATCAAGGAGTACCTGATTGCATCTTTAGGTCTGACTAAAATACCGGTGCATATCTGAATATAATGCAGACCTAAAAAATATTAAAATTAACTAGGATGTTGATGCATCTTAATGAGGATTAAAATTAACTATAATGCATCTTAAGGTATGCACCGATATTTTACAGCACAGCACAGCACAGCAGTGGGAAGGGCAGGGAGTCAAGCCTGACCTGAGGCGGATGTCCTTCATGTGTGGTGTGGCTGCAGCAGGTAGGAGAGCAGGCTGTCCAACTGAGGGTGTCCTGATGAAGAGAAAGGAATCAAGGCACAGCTAATCGCATTGCACACAGCACAGCAGTATGACGGGAAGGGAGGGAGTGTGTACCTGAGGCGAATGTCCTTCATGTGTGGCTGCAGGAGGTACGAGAGCAAGCTGTCAAACTGTGGGTGTTGCGTCACTGATGCGCCCAAAAGGCCTATGCGGTTGGTCACCTGCGAGGAAGGGTGCGGCGTTGGTTGGAGGGGGGACGGGATGAACATCTGTAAATGGTCTCAAGTAGACAACTGGAGGCATCTAACACCAGGAGGTGTACTTACCTGAACGACTCGCATTATAGCGGTGGGAGATGATGTGTACTTACCTGCAGGCCTCTCTTTATAGCGGGGATGAGGTGTAGTTTACTCACCTGCATGCCTTCATCCATAGCGGGCATGAGGTGTAGAATCTCACTTGCAGGCCTCTCTCTATAGCGGGGATGAGGTGTAGTCTACTCACCTGCATGCCTTCATCTATAGCGGGCATGAGGTGTAGAATCTCACCTGCAAGCCTCTCTCTATAGCGGGGATGAGGTGGTCTTCAAGAGCTGCGGGGCGAAAGGGCAGAGAGGAGTAGCTGGCGAGGCAGAAGCGACAGACCTCGGGACAGCTGCGCACCACCTGATGTGAGGGGGAGAGAGGGCGAGAGAGGGGCAGGGCAAAGGGATTGGTGGGTTGGGTGTGGTGTGTGGTGGCCAACCAGCCGCTCACAAGCTTGGTTGTGGTGAAACTGAGGTTTTCCTCGACTTGTCTGTATATTGTTAGCTGCTTTGCCTCAGTGCATCTGAGTCAGCCAGAAAAAGTCGCCGTTTTGGCACACATAAAAGCACAGGCAGACATTTATCGCACCTCCACCATGTATATTCCTTCCCACGCCATGCGAGGGGACACCACAGTGGACGCCGCCAGCTGCCTGCCCCGGTACGTCTGAGTCGACTCACAAGCCACTCTTTAGCACACGGAACAGAACAACACACAGAGACAGCAGTCGCACCTCCACCATATAAATGCCTTCCCACGCCATGCGAGGAGACACCACAGTGGACGTCGCCAGCTGCTTGCCTCTGTACGTCTGCCTCTCCACCACTGCAGGAGCTGCTAGGAGCATCCCTGCACCGCTGCTGCTGCTGCTGCTGCTGCTGCTGACGTTTGTGCTGCCAGCTGGCAGTTGCAGGGGTGACACGTCAGCAATGGGCCCCGTGGGGCTGTGGTATTCCACCCGGTACAGCAGAGGCACGTACACCCCTGGCACCTGATTGGTTGGTTGTGGGGCAGGACAAGTGTGAGAGAGGGTAGAGTGGAGCGGTGGGTGGAGAGCAGTGGAGAGTGGTGAAAAGCAGTGGAGAGCAGTGGCTCATGCAGGGGTTGCAGGGGTTTGGTTTTTGGGGGGTTTGAAGATTTGGGAGATACACAAGAGCAGGATTAGAGGGGGAACTGGGCAAGGATGACGAAGAGGTGGTAGGGCAATTCCGACTTTGCTGCAATTGCTGCGTTTCCTAATAAGCTGTGCTTCCGAATTTCCTAATGGAGCTCTCTCACCAGCACTGCAACACTCCCACTAACTAACCTGAGCCAGAGCCGAGAGTATTTCCAACCGCCTGCTGCTTCTGCTACCACCACCACCACCACCACTCGCTCCCTCCACCCCTCCTCCCCACACTCACTCCCACTAACCTGAGCCAGAGCCGAGAGTATTTCCAACCGCCTGCTGCTTCTGCTACTATCACTCGCTCCCTCCACCCCTCCTCCCGACACACACGCCTCGAACGCGTCCACGAAGCTTCCCAGAAGCTCCTCGCCGTCGCCCATCAGGATCACGTCGAAGAAATCTGCAAACGGCTCCGGATTGGCTGAGAGAACCGCGCCCCCTCCGAACACGAAACATGTGGACCCACTCTCCAACCGCTCCTCAGATCTCACTGGAACCCCCAGATCTTCTAGAATGTTCAGCACGTTCACGTAATCCAGTTCCCAGGAGAAAGAGAATCCGATCAAATTAGGGTTTCTGGGGAAAGGATCGTGCGCGTCGGTGAACATGCGTGTAACGTGGATGGAGGCGCGGGAGCAGAGGTACGCCCACACCAGTTGGTACCCGAGCGAGCAGATCCCGACGGTGTATTCGTTCGGGAACGCGTAGATGCACCTGATTGGCTCGCGTGGGGCTTCGTGACTTTCACTTCTGGCGCTGAATCCAATTGTGCTGCTATTACTGGAGATATTATTGCTGTGGGTGATGCTGCTACTGCTAGTGCATGTAGGGTCGCCTGAGCGAGGATCGAACAGGAGAGTCTCGTCTTGAGAGAATTGGATGAGGTTCGCGATTTTTTGCTGATGTGTCAGCGCCTGATTCGCCGGCTGCTTCTTCTCCTGCTGACGCTGCTGCTGCTTTCCCTTCTCGCCTTGCTGCTGCTGCGACTTGCCTCCCTTCCTCGCGTTCTCTCGGTTCCTCGTGGCTCTAGCTCTAATTTTCACCGTAAGAATCCTCCGCGTCGGCTCGTCGGGTTTCCGTACATTCTCGACCTCATTCCCCCAATACACATTCTTCCATCTGCTCCCGAATGTCGCGACACTCCCAAGGCTGCCGACTCCTGCAGACCGAAGCGTGAGAGCACCAGAAGTCGAAGCCGCCATGTGAAAGCGCTGAGAACACTGCAGCTCCGCAGTATCGAGCATGTGAAAGAACCTACAATCTGCTCTGGGTGCAGCAACTCAACCCAGAGTTTCTTGCTAAGGGCGTGTGCCTTTTTTGCTCCCGACGGTTCGAACCGTGGACCGTCCGATTTGCAAAAATGTTACCCGTTTCGTCACTTGTCGTGACTGTTTCGTGAAGGTGTTGGCGACGTCGCCAGCGGTTCGAACCGTCGCGTCACTTTTCCCTCCAAGCAACGGTTCACATTCTGAACTTTTGGCAGTTCGAATTGCAAACGGACGGATGCACAGTTCTGACACTGGATTGGCACGCGAAGGTCTCGAAAAACAAAAACCGAGCCGCATGTACAATTTATTTGAGGACCGCGCCTCGCGACTGAACATTGAACGTTCACATCACCCCCTAGCCCACCAACACTACAAAGGCCCCAGCAATCCGAACTGAACCCTCACACTCTGCCTACAATGGAGCACTCTAGCGCAGGTGACAACTCTGAACCGGCCAAGACCACCCCGAACACCTCTAGTCAAAGTCCCCATGCTGAACCCCCGCTCCCTCTAGATCTGCCAGAGGCAGAAGAGTCCCAGATCGCTACTCAGACACTCGCCAACACTCAGCCCTCCACCGCAACCACCGTCACTCCAGCTGACTGGTGGGTCTACCAGATCCCTTCCCCCACAGCCTCCTACGACGCCGACGACGACTATGGTATCGGTGCTGACATGGACAATGTCGCAACTCTGGGCGAGGTAGAGGAGGAGCAAACGGAGCAGGAGACAGCCCCCACATCTGAAACTACAGCTCCTTCACGGCGATCTACAGGCAGGACTCTCCCTCGCTGGACCCCCGAAGAAGAATGCGAGGTCCTAGCCGCGTTCATCACCAGGCAGGCACAGATCCGGGCGCGCACTGGGCAGCAAGGCCGCAGTTGGTACCCGTTAATCCAGCAAGAGCTTCTGGAGCAGAATCCCCGTTGGCGTCACGATGTAGCAGCGCTCAAAGCGAAGTACAATCGCATGAAGGAGCAATGGCGCAAGATCAACGATCGCAGCAAGCGCTCCGGGGTGGACCGCGCTACTGGTCTCCCTGCTTGGTATCACCTCGGCGAGACTTTATGGGGTGAGCGCCCGAGTACAATTCCCCCTGTGCTTGTAGGCACTGGGTTAAATCGTCGCGGCGGTGGAGGGCGAACGGTTCGCACCAGCTCCACTGCGACGCCTACCGCGACAGCTCCCACCAGCACCGTTGTGCGTTGTACGGCAGCCGTCACGACGATTCCCTCGTCTGATACATCGACGGCTGCGGCGATCGCCGTTTCCACACATCCGACAAACCCGCTCCCTCTGCCAGCAACGTTCCCGCCAACTGCAGAACCCGAGACAACTAGCACTGCTGCTGATACATCCGCTCCCACTAACGGTCCGGTATCGTCCGCAACTTTGAATCCCTCCTCCCCCTCTCGCGCTCCGCCACCCGCTAGAGACACCCCTTCCTGTCGCGGGCCCCTCTCTCCCTTGTCGCCAGACACGATCACGCTCGCGTCTCCGACATCCGGTCCGCCTGATTCAGGTGCGACGACGGGTGTCTCGATCCGCAGTCGTCGCCAAATCTGGGGAGCGCGCCCGGCGACTGATGGGAAAGAAGGGTGCAGCCGCAACGCGTGGTATCAGTATCCACGCAAATAGACCGACGCCAGAGACGGGCAGGGGGGAAGGGGAGGTACAAAGGGCATCGGTCGCAACTCCGCAGGGAGACCGAAATCCGTGAACATGTTTGTCTGTATGCTCGTTTCGATGTGTCGAGTTGTGTGGTGAGCTGGGTGGGTGTGAAATGCTTGAAATCGAGCCGCCGTGTGGTGAGCGGAACTGGCGAGAGTGTGTGACTGGGGTTACGATTGTACAGTAGCTCTAGCGAGTGCACAGTACTTCGGTAGTTTCAGATGTAGAGAAAAGTCACGTTTTTGCCTTCGGACAGTCTGCAGTTTCGAATTTCCGAAATGGACTGTCCGGTACTCGCTATTGGGACCGTCCGCTTCGATACAAGTGGACTGTCCGCGAAAAAAAAAAAAAAAAAAAAAAAAGGCACACGCCCTAAGCGTCATTAGACAGGCTACAATCTGCTCTTCTGCTGTTGCTACTATAGGCAAAGCTAAAATTTGATTGGAGATTTCATCCATAGTAATGAGAGCAGGTCTGTAAGGAAAATGTCCAGGACGTATACGCTCTTTCGTAAGGAGGGCCTCCTTAGGGGGGAGGGGGGGGGGGGGGTAGTGTAAGGAAAATTCCTTTTCCTTACTTGGCATCCCTGCTCAGCGCGTACACCACTGTTTCCCGCCAAAAGCACCCAACAATAACCCGTTACCACTCGCGACACTCGCCTCCACACTAATCCCGCCACTGTTCACGACGCGGCCCAACCTCACGGTTCGGTTGGTAACCCGCGCTCAGGACCTCCGCCTCGACAATTCCCAACCTCGGCGCTAGGCCCGTCGCGCACCCCATTTTCCACACATTACCGTTACCACTGTAGTTTCACTATATATTCTTCGCTCATTGTATTCTTGCTTCGATAGTGCAATCCTCGCTCGCTCACTCAATTGCACTCGTAACACTTGGTATTGTCAGAATGTTATGTTTGTCTAGCCTGCAGTGGGGTACTCAATAGTGAGTACAGCCCAATCTAGGGTTTGCTATATGTACTCAACTGCTTGCTAGTGAAACTCCTCTTTCTCGTTTCTAAATTTCAACTGTTATTCCAACATGGAATCAGAGCAGGTCGACCCTCACGGGTCGATCCTGTGGATGGGCCCACCTAAGCTTCCGCTGTCAACACTGCCTATCGCGCGCCTCGCGCGCGCGCTACCTTTCTGCCTGCCGCGCGCCATGGGCGCGCGGCCTTTTTTCTTCCCGCCGCACGCTAGGGGCGCGCGGCGGTTTTCTGCTCGTCGCGCCGCCCTGGGGGCAGCGCGACGCCCTGATTTGCCCGTCGTGCGCCCCGTGGCGCGCGACGGTACCCTGCCCGTCGCGCGCCTCAGGGCGCACGGCGGTTTCGTCGCCCCGGGGGGCTCGTGCGCGGCCCCCTCGTCGCCCATCGTGGCGCCATTGGGGGCCCGCGCGGCCCCCCCTTCCGTCGCCCGGAGTGGCGCCCTTGGGGGCCCGCGCGTGACCACTTCCCGTCGCCTGTCGAGGCGACCCTGGGGGGGGGCCGCGGGCGACAGAAGGGGGCCACGCGTCGGCCCCTCCTGTCTTCGTCGCGGCCCTGCCCGACCCTGCCCTGCCCGGCCCTGCCCCCGTCTTCGTCGCGGCCCTACCCTGTGTTGGGGTTTGGGGGTGGCGAGTATGGGGGTGAAAGCTGGGTGGCGGGTGTGTGGCATCCCCTGCTCCTCCTCCTACTCCGTCTCCCACTGCTGCAGCTGCCGCTGAGGGAACCTAGGGGTGCAGCAGGGGGTGTGTGAAAGGGGGGTGCGACAGTGGGGGAGGTTGAAGGGAGGTAGCCGTCGTGTCGTCAGCGGCGCCTGTAGTCCGGAGGTGCGCCTCCGGTAGCCCAACGAGCCTGCTGCGCCAGTCGCCCGTGGGTCCGTTGCTCCTGCCGCTCGTCTTAGCCGCGGAGCCAGTTACTCCTGTAGTCCGGAGGTGCGCCTCCGATAGCCACAGTGCGCGCACTCCTGTTGCCCGTGTGTCTGCAGCTTCAGCCGTTGCCTTCTCTCTCCTTTCCTATCAGTCTAGCCTCCTCCTCCTCACTTGCCCTCTGTGACAGCCTCTAGCTTTACTTATTGCTGTGAACTATAAACTGTTGCTTCTTGTACTTGTGCTCAGAATGTGTGGTGACATTGTGATCCACCCTGAGCTTGTTTTTTGCTTGCTTGTTGTGCTGATTACACCCCACTTTGGCTATGGGGGTGTGTCAGAATGTTATGTTTGTCTAGCCTGCAGTGGGGTACTCAATAGTGAGTACAGCCCAATCTAGGGTTTGCTATATGTACTCAACTGCTTGCTAGTGAAACTCCTCTTTCTCGTTTCTAACTTTCAACTGTTATTCCAACAGGTATTCATAGCCTACGATCTCCTCTCGGACCGCACCCACCAGGGCTCTGGTTATCATACCAAATTGGTCTGATGGTCTGAAAATCAGACCTACTTTTTTCGTTTCATCTTATTTTCGAGACCAGCATTTTATTTTCATCTGAACCGTAAGACGAAGACTCTTATTTCGTCTGAAAAATAAGACAACGCGTTATACTTCGTCTGAGATTTCAGACATCGAGTATACTATCATCTGATACCGACCAAGTATCGAATTCCACCCCCCCCTCCCGCCCCCTCGCCCCTCCCCCCCCATCTTTTACGCTCCCCCAAACCAGCCCCCGCCTCAGCAGACCCTCGCTACTCTAGCAGTCCAGCCAGCCCCCCCGCAATCCCTCGCTGATTTAGCAGTCTAGTCCAGCACCCCGCAATCCCTCGCTCCTCTACCAGTAAAGCCCCCCCTTCACCCCCTCCCCCCGCAGTCCCTCGCCCCTGTCCATTCCCCCTGGTCCGTCACGTCACACAAATTCAACAGTGGTCCTCGCAGCCCAACTCTCCCCCGCCTCTCCCAGCCCATTCCCTCTCGCCACGTGACTTCTGTTCTAGCGGGCCGTCGGCGCCACCAGGTTGCGTATTCACAACAACGTGTACGGTAATTGGCTGAATCAGACCATCCAAAGCAAATCATATGAAAATTCAGACATAGCTTCAGCATCCGTCTGAAAATTCAGACAAACAAAAAAAAAACTGCCCATCTGAACGTCAGACGAAACGTTTTTTTTTTTTTTTTTTTTTTTTTTTTCAGACAGGCCTAAATCCTAGCAAGAGCCCTAGCACCCACACCTTCGCTTCCCCACTATCTCAATTTTTTGGGGGGGGTAGACGTCTCTCAGCGAACAAGCACCGCCGCTCGAAGTGCTCTCTCGTAAGCACGCACGGCCACGACAGAGGCTCTCGTTGAGCTTGCCCGACACCCCCGCCATGGCTGAGATTAATCTCGCGACACTGACGCAAGCGCAGCTTGACAGTCTCGTGCGCCAACTCGAAAATTCGGCCCTCGAAATCGCTACACTTACGGCGGAACGCGACTCCGCACGCCAGCAATCAACGGTGAATGCACCATCACCAACAAACGCACATGCACAATTGGAGGAGCCGATCGTCATCAGGCACACCGACACAGAATAACAGCGTGGGACAACGCTCAGTGTTAGAAACTAGAACGAGAATGAATGAACTATGAAAGAGTTGGGTACAAGTACTAACCCTAATTGGGTTGTACCCTTTATGGGCTACCCCACTAGAGCCTACACAAAGTAAGCACGATAACATTTTGACACACCCCCATAGGCAAAGTGGGGGAGAACAAGTGGTCACAAGACCAATCAAGAAAAGCAAAGCAAGCTCAGGGTGGATCACGAAGTCACCACAGATTCCGAGCACAAGCAAATGACCACAAGGCCAGTTCACATGCAGAGTTATATAAAAGAGAACAAACAGTACAGTGATCATACCCTAGCAAGTGTAAGCATGCAAGTATATATGTAGATCACAGTACAAGCAAAGTCACGCAGTGAGCAAGTGAGGAAAAGTAGGCACAAGGCCTAAGAGAGTACAGAAACGCTGATGATCACCATGTCAGAATAGTAGCTTAGTAGGGAATAGTAGCCATGCTAGAGTAGGCTAGACATGAGTGTCGAGAGAAAAGTCGAAAAGGAAGAATGATGAGTTTCACTATGGAAAGTTGGGATACAAATAGCAAACCCTAAATTGGGTTGTACTCACTACAGAGTACCCCACTGCAGGCTAGATAGCAAATACATTCTGACACACCCCCATAGTCAAAGTGGAGTATAATCAGCAGAGCAAGCAGTCATAGAGCAGGTTCACCAGTACAAGCAAAGCTAGAGGCATTCACGAAGGGCAAGTGAGGAGGAGGCTAGACTGTGAGAGGAGAGGAGATAGGAGGCGACGGCTGTTGTTGCAAACACACGGGCAACAGGAGCGTCGCGCACGGTGGCTATCGGAGCAAGGGCCCCGGACTACAGGAGTAACTGGCTCTGCGGCTAACTCTGAGCGGCAGGAGCAACGGACCCACGGGCGACAGGCGCAGCAGGCTCTTGTGAGAATAACGAGGAATGAATGATTGAACTAGAAACGAGGTGGGTACAAGTAGAGAACACAAAAGTGTTGTACCCTCTAGGAACTACCCCACTACAGCCTAAACAGACTATAGCAGATACAAGTTTGACACACCCCCATAGGCAAAGTGGGGGAGAACAAGAGGTCACAAGACCAGTAAAGAAAGACAAAGCAAGCTCAGGGTGGATCACAAAGTCACCACGCAGTCTGAGCACAAGCAAATGGCCACAAGGCCAGTTCACATGCAGAGTTATATAAAGGAGAACACACAATACAATGAAGACAACCAAGCAAGTGTAAGCATGCAGGTATATGTACAAAGAGTACAGTACAAGCAGAGTCAAGAAGAAAGCAAGTGAGGCACAGTAGGTACAAGGCCTAACACTGTACAGAAACGCTGATGATTGCAAGGCTGAAGTGCCTTGGTGAAAACATCAGCAGTGTTGGCCTGAGAGGCCACGTACGCAAGACGAAGCTGGCCGCGCTGCTGCAACTCTCGAGCAAGGAAGTAGCGCAGAGCA